TTTTTTGTATGTTATTACGTAAACACAACAATCTCGAATTAAAACTCAGTTAACCAATAATTACTTGTAAATCATCATCATAATGGCACGATAACATCAATATTGGATCATGCGATTATAAATGTCATAAAATTTGTTTTGCCAGAACAAATGGTTGGCTGAAATGTGCCGTGCAGTGGCACATGTCAGCCAACCATTTGCTCCGACAAACCAAATTTCATGATATTAATTGTTGCATGACTAATATCTTATAATTACAGTATATAAATAAACATATAATCGTTATAAATGGATATTAATATTGTAACCATCGTAAGGGAGGGCTTGGTATTGTCATGCCGAGTTTAACTCCGATGGTTGATGTTAAAAGGGTCAAGTGAATTTGGAAATAAATTAGATATCCAGATATTTACGATTTATTAGGCATTTATTATTAAAAGAATTTTGTTATGTTATCTTTATTAGAAGAGAAATTTTGAGCAAGCACTTATATACATGAATACTTTTTTAGAGCGTGATCATAACGACTACAGCGTACTCGCGGTAGCTTCTGCATATTCGTGGCAATCACAGCGTACTCGCTATTACCACCACATATTCGTGGTTGCATGAACTAAGCCTCCAACAATAAATTACAATGCCTAATACTAAGGTAAGATTAACATGGCTATGATGTACAATTATGGAAGGTAAGTGACAACTTAAAGAATTAGACAAATACGGAAGTGAGGAAAAATCAATCGTTACAATATATAGAATTAGAATTAACATAAGTTAATCCTGAATCTCCTTAAGTATGTTCTTGACTGTATTAATATTAAGAGGTTTAAGTAATTTTAGCATGAAAAATTACATCATTATAGTAAAACAACGAATAATTTTTAATATCTAATAAAATGTCGATCATGTGAGCTTAAATAATGCAATGTGATTGGTAATTTCAGTGATCGCTGAAATAGAGGGCTCTGATTGGCTGATGTTGATGGATGGTGTGAGCGGGTAAACTGATCCAAGCTCAGAAAATATGGGCAATACGGATACCAATCGACACTAAAACTAATCTAAACACTATTCTAAAACTACTAAACTCTATCTCAACCCTAATATAGCAGGCTACGATCGAGGCGTGGAAGACTTGGTCCGAGTTATTAGGGCCAAATTGAGCTCTTGATTACGTCATGAGACTCTAATGTCACGGGCTTAGACTACTAACTTTATGTGATTTTGACTTATGGGGGGTAATTGGACCGAAACTTTGAAGTCAGAATACAAGACTCTCTATGAGTCAAACACTAATGAGTTTTTCCAACTCTCACTGAATTCTACTAACTCTTTTATTGAAACGAAAAGATAGGTCTTAAATAGCTTTTGACCTTTGCTGCGTACATAGCGGATAAACTCACTATCTTATATTAATTTCTAGTTTTCTAATTATAGATTTGAATTGGCTTAGATGGAAACAAATTGTCTCTAGGGACAAATTGTTCCTAGAGACGAATTGTCCCTCTCTATGAGAATCTAATTTTAGCAGTGTTGATCTTTCCTGCTTTTCCGTACTTAGATTATATAGTACTAATAGATAAATAACACTAATAATATATCCATAACAATAAAAATAATATAAATAATATAAAAAAAAGAAAATATGCGTCTCATGACCACCAGGGAGCCGCTCACAATTCTTCCGCCCTTATCTTCGAGTTCCATAAGAAGGATACTTGAAGAGAATCGACTATGCTAGGCCACCAACTATCTAGGCTAGATTGGAATTACCGTCAGATTTCTTCTTCATATGTCAATAACTTCGGGTAAGTCTTCTTATCTTGATTCTTCATATTCATCTTTTTCAATACCAATTCCATTTTGATAACAATATCCAATTCATAGATATGCTTTGACATTCCTCTGAGGCTTTTTTGAGTCTTTCCAGTAGGTAATGTGGACATTTCCTTCCTTCTTGCCGCCCCTTTCTTCTTTGTTTCTACCTCTGCTTCTTCTTTGAATCTTCGAATCTTGCTTCTTCGTATTTTGTGGTTAATGTGCCCCACTCCCACACATAACTGTCATGACCTACCATATCAAATTTCATCATGTCCATTTTCTTCTTTTATGATTTTCTTACACTATACTTTATTTGTTTTGACATTCTTCATTCTTCAGGTAGGTATTTCTTCGAGTCTTGTTGGTCACATGATTTCGAGAATATCTATGTGCCAGTTTTATTCGCAGGGCAGTGAACAAGATTACATATCTGATGGTTGGATTCATCCATTTTACCAATATGAATTAGCACACTTTTAATATTTGGTGCACATTTATTTCAACTCCAATTACATCTTCGTAACAAATTCCAGGCTCAAATGTTTCACTAGCATCCCCAGATTTCACAGTCATTCTTTAATTCTTGAATAAATTCTTGCTCATTTTCATTTGAATCACAAATTACTTTAAGTCACTATTTATCCATGTACTATTAATTTTATCGAACCAATGTGCATAATATACAGTTGGAAATTCTCCTTTTCCCAATTCTTCGATACTTCTGAACTCATTAAATCAATCTTAGATAATTTAGATCTTTCTTCGTCTAATATTCTTTTAAGTTCAGGATTTATATGATTTGGCATTCTATTAGTTTTCAAAAGGCTTCTATATTTTCTGAACCAATAACTTGCGCTTTGGATATCTTTCTTTGTACTGGCATCGTTTCGATTATATAACCCACCGGGGTCAAATTGGTTAGTAAAATTATTATTAGCATGTTTTAGATACCATCCACATACTTTATCTCTTTTTACTTCAATCCTATCTTGGCAAGGGTGTCTAGCTTAAATTATTTCCTTAGTGTTATCTATATCAGCAGATTTTTGATAACGACTGATCACTTTATTTTTATTCGATTTAAGTCCAATATCGTTTCGGTAGTTATTGCTCACATGCGACACAGTCTTTTTGCTCGAACTTCGTTGACGTTCTTAATCCAGTTTTCACAGGCTTCCACACAACTTTTTTCTTTTCGATCGTAGAGTCCACCAGGATTGAGTCGTTTAGTTAAATTTCTATCTTCAGCATTTTTCAAATACCAATCAAGTGTTTTATTCTTGTCAAAACCCAATTCATCTATATAACGTTATCCATTCTTGCTTCCATTCATCTTAACTCTCATTCTACTTTGATAACATTTACTAATATTGAATGTTCTCTCAGCAGGTTTCGCTTCGGTAAGTTTTTTCAATTCCTTCCGGAATTCCTCAACCTTTTCCATCCATTCATTACATGTATGATTTAGGGCTTCTTTTTCGAGGGGTCTTTTGGTCATGTCTTCTTTGACTAAGGTTTTATGATCAATTTCTTCTGTGGTTTCTTTATCCACACTAACTATCCTATTGGCCTCATCATCTTTTCCTTTTTCATTTTTGTCACAAGGTCCTATCAGGTCATTCATATCAGCTGAATTCGGATAATGAATGAGTGTCTGATATTCTTTCTTTTCGAATTCAATTCTATTTTCTTCTAACTTTTTATTTTCGCTATCATTTTCTTTATCAGCATCATTGTCACCTCGACTATCATCCACGTCAACTGGTTTTTGATAATAGTCAGGAGTCATATATTCACCATTTTTGACTCCAATTCCATTATCGTAACGATGCTCAACGGTAAGTGTATTACTAGTATCATCCATCCAGGCAGGTTTTATATTTCATTCACAAGTTACCTTCTTAATCCTTCTGTTTACAGCTTCATATTTCATCTCTGTTAATCCTTGTTCCTTATTTTCAACACAGACTCTAGGTAGATCGTTTTTCCCATGGCTACAACCTTCAGTGTTGTTTATCTTACTTGGAATTTTTATGTTCACAAATTCTTGACAAGGAATCAGTATCTTGTTTTCATCAATTTCACATCTAATTTCATTTTGGTAGCAAGGTTCACACTTATTGGTAATATTTCCCATACTGGGATAATGGGTTATCTCTTTGTCATTAGCTTTATCTGCAGGTTTTTGATAATACTTGAGTACCTTATGCTTTTTCTTTTCAAGGTCAATTCTATTTTTGTAACTAGAACCAGAAGCATGTGTTCCACTAACATTTTCACTTGCAACAGACTTTTGAGATCGAATGAATGCCTGGGGAATATCCTTTTTAGCAGCAAATTTATTCCAGGAACTAAAGTTATCCATTCTATTGATGCAGGTTATTTCTTCCAAAACACAATAGGCATTAAGAATTTTTGAATCGGGACTTTCCTTATATCGTGACTTTGATGTAGAGACTTTTGTGGCAAAAGTTACTGAGAGGGGGCCTTTCTTGTCCGTAGTTGGGGTTACTTGAATATACGGAGGTAGGTATATAATTGGCACTTCCTCGAAGCTTTTATTATCTATAAAATCTTCTAATATTTCTACTAATAACTCGCTTGAGAAAGTTGCGTGTTATCGATATAGTGGTCTCCAAAAACCTTATTTATGATATCTTGGACCTCCGCAACTTGTTTATTGGTTAGGATTTCAAATAAACCGGCACATTTGCTTTCTAACTTTTGTACATCTGGACATATAAAACATTATGCTCTTTCGTGTTACAGTAAGTGCACCCGGATATTTGTTGAAAGACTTCTTGAGGTAGTTTATAATCCCAAGACTTCGTTTGAACCTTCGGTGGAGTCTTTTTTGCACGACATGCGATTTTCTTCGGATATTGGTATGATCTGGCCTGACTTGCAGCAGATACTTGATTTTGGTGATCATAGTAAAAATCCATTTTGTGCCATGATAGTTTTCTGAATGCTATGTTCTCTCAGTTTCGGATATTCAAGAGAATTTAGGATCTGATGGTTTGAGAGGTTCAATCTCACAGTCACCACCAAATTGTGAGCAGGTAAACTGATCCAAGCTTGGGAAATATGGGCAATACGGATACCAATCGACACTAAAACAAATCTAAACACTATTCTAAAACTATTAAACTCTATCTCAACTCTAATATGGCAGACTACGATCGAGGTGTGGAAGACTTGATCCGAGTTATTAGGGCCAAATTGAGCTCTTGATTACGTCACGAGACTCTAATGTCACGGGCTTAGACTACTAACTTTATGTGATTTTGACTTATCGGGGGGGGGGGGAATTGGACCGAAACTTCGAAGTCAGAATACAAGACTCTCTATGCGTCAAACACTAATGAGTTTTTCCAACTCTCACTCGAGGTTTCAAGCTAACGAAAGTCGAAACCTAGTTTCGACTTTCGTCAATTAAAATCTCAAATGTCGAAATGTCGAAATGTCGAAACTGACGAAAAGTGTCAAAACTGACAAAAGATGTCGAAATTGACGAAAGGTGTCAAAACTGGCGAAAGGTGTCGAAACTGGCGAAAGGTGGCAAAAGGTAAAGAAACTATAATTTATTCAGAGATTAGTATCTGAAGTTACATATATCCAAACCAGTTCATTTTTCTGGGCAACGCCAGGGTTGTTATAGACCGGTTGAAATAACCTTGTCAAAAAGCCATAGTACTTACTCTTGGAATAACACAAATAACGAATTAAAAACACACTGGTACAAAATAAATTTAAGATCAAATGCCTACTATACAATACAGGTTTTTTTGACCTATTTCGTTTTTTAACCAATCAAATTCGTCTAAATACCAATCAAAGTCGTGTTTCTATCAAATTAGTATATTTTGATATATCGTTGATAACTCATTATCTAGTGATTCAATTTTGATAAAATTAATACTATTCGAATCTCCTCTATGAGAGGATTCGAATGGTACCAATTTTATCAAAATTGAATTACTAGATAATGAGTTATCAACGATATATCAAAATATACTAATTTGATAGAAACACGACTTTGATTGGTATTTAGACGAATTTGATTGGTTAAAAAACGAAATAGGTCGAAAAAATCTGTAAAATTTTTTGTAACTTTTTATTAGTTTATTTTTTTATACACATAATCAACCTATTTGTTTGTATATTCGTCTTTGTCACCATTTACAGTTTTGTCACCTTTTGTCAGTTTCGTCATTTGTCATTTAAGATTTTAATTGGTGAAAGATGAAACTAGATTTTGCATTTCATTAGTGCGGAACTTCGAAGTTTCGTTTAACAATTATATAAAGGGCTGTATAATTTATACTTAGATTAGGTTTAATAAGAAGCTTAATGCAACTTAATAAAAAGGAATTTATTAATTAAGTAAATTAGCACAAATAAACCATATAGGCGAATATGCAGAATCATGCAGGGACATGCAACTGTGAACACAATACCTCAAAAATTTTTATAGGAGGATCAGGTCATTTGACAATGAGAAGGTTATACAAACTACCTTTTTAAAGAATAAAATCGTTCAAACAACATACCTCAGACAAATGTGTTTGAGCTAGCGATATACAATACTGTCAAATGATATATCTGAGTAGAGCTCTAACCAATAGAAAACAGTTAGGTTTTTGACTGAGACAGTTGGTTTGACACATAGTTTCGCATAATCATTATATTCTTATAATTATTTATGGCATAGTTCTAAATTATTAGGGTGTTATTGAGTAATTGTTTTGTACATTTACCCAATTAAATATGAGAAAATATAAGGTTTAAATTAAATTT